AATCCTATCCCTAAAAAAAGTTGGAATATGTTCCTCTGCTTTATTTATGTTGTCATGCCAAGTCTAATACGCTGAACTTTGGGAACTCAGGGGCATCTCAGGGACATCAAAAACTCCAAGACACTTTGTAGCAAAGTTAATATTGTGTTAATCAGAATATTTGCTCTAGTGAGGGGTGAACAGGACATCCAACCCTATCTCTTGCAAGACACCACACTTTTTTAAAGTGCTGAATAGGCAAGTACTCCTTTTTACATAGTCTTTTACGAGTTAATATTAAACATACATTGTAGCTATTTAATTTGAACACGTTTAATAATTAATAATCTTTGAAAGAACTGTAACATCTATTTTTTACAGCAAATTACTGCTACAACACATAATCTTCTTAAGATATGTTTTGACCCTTTTGTTTAAATGTTTCCCTACCAATACAAGTAGGCAGTCTACAATACAGTAGCCTATATGGATTTGTTGTAAATAATGTTTACTACCTCCAGTGTTGAATTATGTAGATGTTGTATGTAATATACGTTTCAATCACCTTAATACAATGAAAGTAAACTCACAGCTCTGAGATGCTCTCGTGGGATCAGTGGCGGTGGGAAGCTCCATCACAGGGTTAAAGGTACAGTAGCGTGCGTCAGCTGACGCGTCGCGTCACGTAAGGAGCGGGAGGGGTGGAGGCTGGTCCTCCTGCACTGACGGAGCTCCTAGCTGCAGCCCGGAGCAGCTTCCTGCCCTCTGCCGCTGACAAACAGCTCATTCTCATCTACCCTGATCATGTGCCTCGCTCTCTGGCTGTCTCAGGCTCCGCAGCAGGAAGTTAGCCTTGTTTTCTTCCATCCTCAACCTGACAGCAGCGTTCGCACTAGTATTTCCTCTTTTTATATCTTTCGTTTTACAACCTCCACTCCGCGGGACGCTCTGTGACGACAGACACCCGGCGGCTAACCCCGGCATCGAGTCCCCCTCCACGCCGCTCCGCTCCCTCCTCCCCAGGCCAGGGAGAGCAGGTTCATGGAGGCCCAGGCGGAGGAGAAGGAGCTGCAGTCACCGATGGACAAGTCGCAGCCTCTGCCTACCTTGAGCCCGGCAGTCCCCCCCTTCGTCACTTTGGGCCTGACGGTGGTGTACACCGTCTTCTACTCCCTCCTCTTCATCTTCATCTACGTGCAGCTCTGGCTGGTACTGCGGTACCGACACAAGCGCTTCAGCTACCAGACCGTGTTCCTGTCGCTGTGCCTGCTGTGGTCGGCCCTTCGCACCGTCCTCTTCTCCTTCTACTTCAAAAACTTTGTCACAGCTAACACTTTGGGGCCCTTTCCCTTCTGGCTGCTGTACTGCTTCCCTGTCTGCCTCCAGTTCTTCACCCTCAGCCTCATGAACCTTTACTTCGCACAGGTGAGTTAATTAGCAGCGCGCGGGTGCTAGTGACAGCAGTGCGTCATAGTCTGCACGTTCTCTGTCATGGCAGAACAGCATTTTTATAATGGAGTACTAAAGAGTTCGGATTGAAAGTCCCCCTCGACTCAAACCCTTTGTATGTGTGTTGCCTCACATTCATGTTGGTGCTGCAGATTGATGTATGTACTGAGTTTGACACTAGAAGAGGAAACATCCACTGCACCTTACTATTCCAGAGTAATGTATCTGCCATACTGTCTTTAGGGGATCTTTAAACATAACCTACCATCATGTGAATTATTGCCTGAAACCAAAATACAACATGGTTTTTGTATATATACTTTGAATAACTTCATGAAATATCATTATATTATCAAGAAATGGTTTGGTCCCACGCTGTCTGATCTCAATGAGATCTGTAAAACAAGACCTTTAACTTTTAATCTGTGAAACTAAACTTTAACAACTAGTTAAATAACTCTTTAATTACACTTTCTCGTTGAATAAGAGTTTAGCATTTAAAGAGTTAATCAAATCCATAATATGATATAATAGATATCAACACTAACCTGCTGCTTTGAATACATTTAATGACAATATTAATAATCACTGATATCAAATATGGCTAGAACCCTATTATCACTGTCAACATAATATTGCCTATTGATGTAAAAGATACACTCATTTTGATTAGCTAAGCAGCAAATAGTTCCTTAATCTGCATACTTGATACAAATATCAAATAATTACTCCTCTGCCCTCTAAATTTATTTTAAGCCTAATCATTTTTTGCTGATTTGAGTCCCAGTTGTGAGTTGAGAGTGAGCAACTCATAAGTATTACAGTAAATGTTCCTGTGTGCTGTGAGACTATTGTGTATCCCAAACAACTTCCTGTTTCAGAAGAATGTGTCTTGTTTCTTTAAAATGTGAGAATACAGAAGTGAAAATGAGTGGCCTAAATAACATGACACATTTTGCATAATGAAACTGATTTTTGTTTTCACAGGTTGTTTTCAAGGCAAAGTCAAAATATGCACCAGAACTTTTGAAATACAGGTACATGCATTTACAACACTTAATTTGCCCTTTAAATTATATTACTAACTTGGCTACAGTACTAAAAACATGTCTCCTGACCCACAGGCTGCCGCTGTACCTGCTCTTCCTGTTCATCAGCCTCGTGTTCTTAGTAGTGAATTTGGTGTGTGCCCTGCTGGTGAGGATGTCCTCTGCAGAAGCCCACACCCTCGTGCTTGTGAGGGTCACCATCAACGACACACTGTTTGTGCTGTGTGCCGTGTCGCTCTCCTTGTGTCTTTACAAACTCGCTAAGATGTCCCTGGCCAACATATACTTGGAGTCAAAAGTAAGACATACTACTCAAGGGAGAGACATGTGTGAAAAGGAAGATATAATTAGTAGATTAACCCTCTGGGATCAACAGAAAGTGATTTGTGTAAGTGGCATTACAATGTATTGTCCACAGCTAATAATAGCACACTTGAGTGAAGATGCACTTCTTTACCTAATCCTGCTTTGTACACGGTCATAGTTTCCTAGCAACACAGTGTTATGCAAGACTGGTTTTACTTCACGACAAAATAAAAGGTCACGCCTTAATATTCAAAATGTATTTCCGCTATCTTTACCCTCAGTTACCATGTCGTTTCTGTAAGATTAAACAAATGTTCCCTTGATGAAACTCTTCAAACCTTACAGGGGACGTCGGTGTGCCAGGTGACGGTTATAGGAGCCATCGTCATCCTCCTATACTCGTCCAGGGCCTGCTACAATCTGGTCGTCCTGGGACTCTCAAGCAAGAGCATTAGCTCTTTTGACTACGACTGGTACAACGTTTCAGACCAGGTGAACCACCAGCTGTCAAATGCCTTTAGATGTACGAGTTAATGTAAAAAGAAAATGCTTTTTCCGAGAGCATTGGTTGACTCATTTATTTGGCTGTTATCGCAGAAAGCTGAAAAAAATGTGTTTACTCTTTGTTTTCCTTGTAATGGTTGCAATCAAGCTATACAGTAATTCTCCATGTGAGGGTAAAAGAGTTGGCTGTTTGAATAGTGGATGTGTTTTTGTTCCACAGGCAGACTTACAGTTGACTCTGGGCAACACTGGCTACATCGTCTTTGGGGTGATCTTGTTTGTATGGGAGCTGCTGCCCACTACTCTCTTGGTTTTCTTCTTCAGAGTTCGGCAGCCTGACCTAGACAGGGTGAGTCAAGCAAATACACTTTGCCCTGCAGTGGAAATGCGCCATAAGTCAGCAGTTTACAACATGAGGGTCAGGGGTCACAAGATAAATCTGAGGGGACATAAGATAATATATAGGAAAGCAGATAAAACACGCTGTTGTTCAACTACACAGAATGTCTGTTTCTGTCCAGTAAAAATATGAAAGATAATAAAAAAACAAAACATTTTTGCCATGAGGTTAGAAACGATGTGATGTACAGTCCAAAGTTTAAGTAATGTAAGACTACTTACATTTATATTCTTATTTGCCTGCGGCTTGTCCTGCAGAGTGGCTCTGGGCTTCCCGGTCATGGCTTCTCCTCCAGGGCTTATTTCTTCGACAACCCCCGGCGTTATGACAGCGACGAGGACCTGGCGTGGAGCGTAATGCCTCAGAACATCCAAGCCAGGTAAAAGCACCACGATGTAACCACCAAAATAATACAGGAAGTAGAATTGTAGCAAAGGGTAGAGGTCAAATGACACTGTTGTTTGTTTATTGGATTCTGTAGTCTGGCTGCTGACAGTTACGAGTGGGGGAGCCAGAGCAGCAGCGGCATTGGCGCCTACATCGGAGGAGACGACACTTACCCCCCCCCTACCTCCTCCTGAGGAGCTCAGCCATTACTGACCGGAGATCCCAGCGACTCCTGCTGGCCTTTGGCTTTGTATATTTTTGCACAGTCTCTTGTTGAAGAGGCGCATGGGGCCAAAAGTCGCCGTTTACTCGATGCATTCAGTCTTCTATTTTGTCTAGAGAAGAACGAACAGACTTTTCTGCCAGTATATAAAGGTCCACTGATGGGACGCTAATTTTGCACATTCTTTGTACAATGTGAGCTAACGTTGACTGCATTTAAACCTTATCATTGTATAGTTTATATTGAATACTGCTTAATATATTTCCTGACTTTTGTAATATGTACTTTCTTACTATTTTATGTACTGTATTCTTTTTTCATGCAGATGTGTTTATATAAGAGTTTTAATTCATATTAAAAGACAGTTAAAATGCAGCGCAAGATGCGGTTCAATTTGAAGAATACACCAATACTTTGATACCACTGCTCGTTTTCATACGTTACTCTACAGAATATTATTGTTGACCTGAATCATGGATCACACCACGCTTAATTGTGAATGAACACTACTTAATGTTAAATCATCTATATAATTAAGACAGACTAGTTAGAACAAACATACAGGTTCTTGGGCTTTTAAGCATTTGTCCTTAAACCACCGGCTGTTATTAAGGACAGTTAGAACATTGTAGTTACATTAATACTCAATCAGTAAGAGTAACATTTATTATATTTTTGTGCAGAAGACGACTAGCAGGCCTGATATGTTTGGCACTTCTCCCCATTTTATTGATGAGCCTTTTTAAAAAGATTAAAGCACTAAATATATAATTTAGCCATAAACTTAAAAAAGCGATTATGCTTTAAAATAAAAAAATTGATCTATTGCCCATTTACAATATTGGAACATTCTCACTGTGTACTTGTATAAAGGGATCCTAATATTTTGGGTGTTTCGCTTTCCTGTAGTGTGTCAGGTAGGTTTTTGTGCATGTCAATAGTTTGCAAAGGCAAAACAATTGCCACACACACTCCCCCCTGCCTGAAACACCTCCATTGTAGTCCTTTGTTTACTTCTGTAACATAGTGACATCCCTACGCAACAGCGGCGCTACTATTGGCTAGCGCTCCAACAAAATGTATGTGATAGGCTTTAGGGCGGGACGGGACATTAACTGGTTAACCAATCGCAACAGAACTGGCCAGCTAAGGCTCTGGTTTCAGACAGAGGGTGAAAAGAGGTGCTGCAGCACAGGCAGTATGAGAAAAATAGAGAGCTTTTTGAACATTAAAGCATGGAAACATTTCACAGTACAAGCCCAAAATACAAATATGAATGTGAAAATGAGCATAATAGGGCCTTAAAGTTTGAGGTTGTCATGGAAAAGATCTTTGTTACATGCTATATTCTTTAAAGCAGTGAAAACAACCTGGAAGGTAATACTTGGGGATTAAGACACTTGAATTGATTTTATGCTGAAGTCTTATTTCTCACTTCTCAGTGTGAATAATCTTATTTATGCTGGGGTCCAGAAAATCAGTGCAATTCACTGTAGGCCTGCAGGAGGCAGCATGTAACTGCATATAGTGCAAACAGGACAACATGAGAGGCAGGTGAATGCTGCTCCTTAAATCTGTGCTTACTCAAATGATTTGTTATTAAGAGAGTAGCCAAAACAAAACCAAAAATCACACTTAACCTCTTTTGTGAAATGATTGAATTCTAACTAAGACCAAACAATTTCAGTCAGAAAAAGCGTGTTTTTAATTTAGATCATTCCTCATATTATTGCAGCCTCAAGTACAACTTTGCAATACAGTAGCTCATAACAGCTGATTCCATGTGAAAAGCATACCACGATAAGCATATGCAGAACACTGTACCTTTAGGAATTAACTGTAAAAACCAATATGCAAAAGGTGTAGATTCTCTGGGAGCTTAACCCCCGTTGATTTTATGAAAATGTCAGCTGTAACGTAAGCGCTCTCCAACGAAGGGGTGAAAGGGAAATCAAAACAAAAACACACAATCCCTTTCAGTACAATGTCATGACATTCAAGGTCCTCTGGGCTGCCCCGGTTTGCTGAAAACAAGCAGAAATCACTGTTTTTGTTTGTTTTGTCTCCATAAAAATGGTTCTTCCACACTCTCGCGCAAAAAGTCTGCTGTTGCCATGTAAAACACACACACATGCTCTCTATAGGCCACTTTCTTCGAACAGAGCACTTAACGGCTGTTGGTATGCAGGCTTCCCACTAGCTAGGGTCTGAGGGTTTGCCAAGTTCAACCTTTACTCCTTTCTCTCCTGCACCTGCACAGAGGAAACACACAAATATGAGACGTTATATACAAATAAAATAAAAATAGAAACAGGGTTGTGTAGTTTAGACTAGGGAGGTCACAAGAACAGATATTTAGCTACCAAATTGATGCCAATGATATAAAAAGTGATGTTACAGTAAAAATCCTTAGTACCATCATCCCGGGCAGTGAACTCACCATTGACACACTTTTTCCCACTGATAATGCTACTGTGTGTACAACTAATCTGTGTTGAAATGGGCAGGAGGAAAGCTAGCTAACCTTAGCCGTCAGCAGCAGGTGAGGTTTCATAGAGTTGCATTATGGTCCATTCACGCTTTATTCAGTAAAAATAAAAATGTGCTAAGTTATAAAAGTATCATAATGTGTTACATCTTAGTCTTGTAAATCACAGGTTGTCAAGTCGTTTGGAAAAAGAAACATTCACAGAAATAAAAAAAAGGTTTATTAGAGAGGGGGGTTTTATAACCTTTCAGCTTGCTAACAGGAACCAGTATGTAAACAATCAAATAAGGAGTGTATTGAGAAGTACATGGGATATCCTGTTATTTTTTTTTACTGGGATATCCAATTGATATAGATAATTTTTTAATTGTATTGGTATCGACTCGTCTGGTATTGAGACATCTCTATTTTGTACACATGAACCTACCCGTTAGGTACTTCTCTTTAGCTCTGGCTCGCTCATCTGCGTCAAAATACCACACCGTGATGGCATACCTGCGGAGACAATTAGAGCAATGGGTCACAGCACATCAGGCCAGATGATCTGATCGTGTGCAGTGTGCAGACTGGATGCTGACCTGGTGGCGAAGGCGGGCTGAACCTCGTGAGGGTTCCGTCTGTCGGACCAGAACAGGAGCAGGCGGTCAAATCTGGGCTCGATATCGGCAAACTGGGCCTTCCCTTCTGGGAAGATTCGGAGAAGGCCACCGTGTTCCTGGAAGAGAAGAACAAGAATAAAAACCCTGTTACGTGTGCAAATCAGCACAAAGCAATGACAGGAAGGTTAGGAGAGACTGTAGGAAGCAAACACTAAGTCAGTGTTTCTCAAAGTGGGGGGCGCAGAGGCATGACAGGGGGGGAGCAAGAGACCAGGAGGAAAAATTGTTATGACAACATTTAAAAAAAAGAAAAATTCATAATTTGAAAAAATATTTATTCGAAAATAATATGCTACAGTACAGTACAAGTACGTCTGGGTCTCTGTGTTTCATTCAAGCAGTGTGTGTGGAACGAGCCATTTTGTGTGCGTGCACGAGCGAGAGAGAGAGTTTCCTGGACCTGGAAACATTCGGGGCTTAGCCCACAGTGGCAGCGCCTGAGATTTTCTGTTAGGGGTGCTGTGGGGTAGCTTGACGTTTCATAGAGGGTGCTCAAACATGTAGGGTTTCCCATTAAGGTACCGGGCGCAACAGTGGAATTTTCTGCTGCAACAATCCCCACACGCACACACAGTACCCCGCGACTGTTACAATGAAGGCTCGATAATCAGCTCATGGCATATAGGTGTAAGCAGGGATGAAGTTCTATTTTTTACAAGTGGGGAGTGGACCTAACATCCTCTAAGGGGGTCCGGGGGCATGCTCCCCCGGGAAGATTTTTTTTAAATATTGAAGTTAAATGCATCAATCTGGTGCACTTTGAGAGCAACATTAAGAGATCTATGGATACATCTCTCAACACCCATATGAAACAGAACTGTAAACAGATTTTCTTTTTCTTTATGGATATTTTACAAATCACTCCCCTTTTAAACTGTATTCTTGTTTTACTGTCATATAGTATTTCATAACTGTTTTTCATTTATTCTCTTATTGTTTTATAACTATAATGATCATATGAAGGTGTGCCTCGGAAATAATCTTTTACATAATTCGTGAGTGACCAAACCGTTTGAGACCCACTGAGATAACTTAGACTAAAGTTAACTATCTAAACACTCAGAGAGTCCTTTAGCTCACCTGAGCCTCTCAGTCTGAGAGGAGAGGACTCTCCTCCAGCTTGTTGTGGAACAAACAGCTCCTTATGTCTGTTAGTGTAGCTAGCTAACCAGATGCTAACAACACGGTCCCTGCTGGCACCGGTGCTTGCCTCTGTTGCATTCACTGAACACGGGAAATTACAATCCTGCCGTCCTCTGTAGTGTCATGATGAGGTTCAGGTAAAGCACGGTTAATGTATTATATTATTGAGGGAGAATTGTCCAGGGCTACAGAAAAGGCCAGGCGACGCCACTGATTGTAACAGTCGCGGGTGTACTGTGTATTTGCGTGGGGAGTGTTGCAGTAGAAAGTTCCACTGTAGCGCCCGGTACATTCATGGGAAACCCTACATGTTTGAGCACCCTTTATGAAACGTCAAGCTACCCCACAGCACCCCCAAAAGAAAATCTCTGGCGCCACCACTGAGCCTGCAACCCCGTTTTGAAGAAATGTGCAGTGCAAAACAGGTTCATTGCAGCCACTAATGCCCCTTTCACACCGGCGCTTTTCCAGCTCCTGCTGGGAGCTAGAGCCTGAAAAGCGCCGGTTTTTCCTGTTCACACCGCAGCGGCGGCGCGTCATAGCTCCGGAATGCGGTTCACTTCCAGCTCCAAAAAGTTGTCGGTCCAGAGGCAAGAGCTTTGGAGCTATGACGCGGCGTCGCTTACGTCTCTTACGTCGAGGCGTGCAGGAAACCTTACTTTGACCATCCGTTCGCTGTTATTGATCATTGTGGAGAGCA